ACATTAATCTGTGCTTTGAAGTCACGTCTTAATGCCTTTTGCAATAGGTCCTTGCGCCGGATTATGGGGTACTGTTGGCGGGACCATGTGTCCAACCAACGGTTGCACCGTGAGACTGCCACAGGATCTATTTCCTGCACAATCTGTGATCGCCAACTCAGGCTATACGGCCACCTGGCTCGCTTCCCTCAGGATGATCCTGCACACCAGGTTGTCTCTGCTCGTGATAACCCTGGGTGAAGGATGCTTGTGGGACGACCTAGGAAGTCGTGGCTTGGGCAGATCGATCAAACCTGTCGTGAGGAGCTTGAGATGGGCCGAGTCCCTGCTTGGCGGCTTGCTGTGAGGGACCCTCGTACGTATAAACGAAGGGTGGATGCAGCTATGCGCCCCCGTCGGCGTTAGCTCCATGATGATGATGAAAATGCAGGAAGGCGATCCATTCTGGTCGACGCGGAGAGTCGAATGCCGCCAAATACGAAAAACATCAAGGAAAAGGTCCAAAACGTTGCAAGCAGAGACGATGACCATTTGCGCATTACCTTCATTATTTCATTTAATATATATCGGGTAATCTAATTTATATTTTCGTGGCGGCAATTAGGCTTGACCTACGGGTGAGTCATTCCTCTGCTTTCATGCTTCAAAAGCGTGATCAGGATATGACTTTTGGGATCGTCCTTTTGCAACCCGAACACGAAGCTTTGTGCTAACGAACACTATACTTCGGGGTCGTGAGGGACTAGGGATATGGGCCCATATCAGTAGCCATATCAGCTTGATTGATTTGTTGGCACCATGGAGATTCCGAAAGATATTACTCAGTAGTTCACTTTTAGTAGTCTAATGATTTAATGGCTTTAAGTGAACCTAATGAATCGGTAAAAATGACTATTCTACCGTGGGTAGTCGAAAGTGCAAAATATATAGCTTTATCAAAAGCACAAAGTTCGGCAATAAAGATTGTTGTATGAAACTCATATCACATTCAATCGACCATACACCTGCACCCACACACTGCTCGGTCTTGGAGCCGTCGGCGTGTGTGTATATGTAAGGAAAATGTTTAATCAAGATCTCTCTGAGCCTCTGGCATACCTCCACCTCTGGCGCCATGGCCTTAGTTGATGGAAGCCAAGCTTCCATTATGGTGAAGTTGGCGGTATCCAAGAGATCTATACCGACTTTCTAGATGAGGTTTTGGAGTCTTGTGGTAAAGGGCCTAATGCCACCATTATCATTAGGGTGGCTCGAGTCGACGCGGCATAGGTCAGCTCGAACTGGCCGCATCTGAGTCAGAGGGGAAATACTCCTTACTCCACCTCAAGACAATCCCAGTGCATTTCAGAGTTCCAAGACATCTATACACATGTATTCTGCACAGTAAACCTTTCAAACTTGAGTCTGATGCCGAACCATACACAACTGACCCATAATCCACTTTAGACTTAATCAGGGCTCTATATATCATTAGCAAAGATCTGATAACAGCTCCCCATTTATTTCCAGAAATGCACTTTGGTAAATTAAGTGCTCTTTGACATTTATTCTTTATTTGACCAATGTGGTCTTCCCAAATTAGTGTAGGATTAAAGAGTATACCGAGAAGTCTAGCAGAATTCCGAATAGGTATTAGGTGATTCTTTAGTGTTAGCCTGGTGTTCGGCATTCTCCTATGTGAAGAAATTACCCCAATACTTTTTCTTGTGGAAAACTTAAAACCCCACCGAAAGCCCCAGTTATGAATCATATCCATTGCTTATTGAATGTTATTTGCCGAGAATTCTGTATGGAATGCAATATTGCACAGTCATCAGCGTCGTGAGAATTTAAGATTCGAAGGGGAGTTGGTAAGATGTCATTTATCATACACAGAAATAAAGTTGGAGACGAGACACTCCTTGTGGGATGCCATTTGCCTACAAAAAAAATGTCCGAGAAAGTGACATTGTCAGAAAACAGTTTGACAGCAAAAGTTCTTTCAGAAATTAAAGTTTACACGTGACCCAAAAGCATAAAGTTTTCCGAGTAGCTCACATCGCCATGTCATATCGTAGGCTTTCTTTTAGGCTAGAAATACTGTAATGATAAAGTGCTTTTTTGAAATTGCCTCTTTAAACCCCTGACTACGACGAGCCAGCTTATAG